TGTCTCCGAGCAGCAATGCGCAACGGCCGTCGGCCCGCCGTGCTTGCGCTGTTCACAAGCGGCGGCGGCTGCGTCCTCCATTGCGCCAGGAAGGGCGGTGCTTGCCCCTGTTAGTTTCCTTTTTCTTCGTCGTCGTCCCTCCTCTTTTGTCATTCCTCCTCCTCCGTCCTCTCTCCTGCCTCGTCTCCCTCTCTCCCCCCCCTTCTCCTCCTCCATTCTTCCGGCCACCCTCTGTCTGTCCCTCCCCCCTGTTCTCTCGTCTTTGTTTTTTCCCCTTGCCACCCCGTGCCCCTCTTCATTTTCTGTTCTCCTTCGGCCCCCCTTCCACGGCCGCGGCGCGTCGCCGCGAGCGGCGCCCCCGCCCTCCGCTAACGGCCCCGCCGCCGGCGGTGGAAGAGGAAGATTACGAGGAGAACAGGAGGGGGGAGGGGCAGGGGCGCGAGGCGGGCGCGGCGGCAAGGGCGGCCCGGCAGGGGAATGGGGGGGAGGGGGGGAGGACGGAGTGGGCGGGTGCTTCTGCAATGGTCATGTTGGTGATCATGGTCGTGGTCGCGTTCGTCGCCTCGGTCGCGTCGGCGGCGGTCGTGCCGCTGGTGGTGGGCGGGCTGGCGGTGGTCACGTCGGTGATAGTGCTGGTGTCGGTCGTTGTGGCGGTCGCGAGAAGCGTGGTGGTCGTGGTGGTGGTGATGGCGGTAATTGGTGTTGGTCGTTATCGTCGCGGTGGATGTGGTTGCGCTCGCATCCGTTTGTGGTGATCGTGGCGGCGGTAGTTTTGTGCTGGCGGCGGTTGCGGCGGTTGTGGCGGCGGCTGCGGGGACCTGCTGGCCTATCGCCGGGCTGCGTTCAGCAGCGTCGCTGCATTTGTAATGTGAGGGGATTTGCTGATCTGCCGAGGTCGCCCAGCGGCCGCCTCCTTCTCGCCAAGAGGGCCGCAGCGTGGGCGACTTTCTGTTTCCAGGAGGCGACCGGCCTTTTCAGCGGCCGTGGAGAGGGCGACGCGCGTGCGATCCGCCCCGCGGGCGTCCGCCGCGCTGGCGACGCACTCACCAGATTGCCCCCTTGCGAGGGCGACGCGCACGTTCGAGAGGACGGCTGGCCATCGACGCACGGGCGGCGCACGGGCGACGAATGCGCGACGCACCTCCTGTCGCGAAGGGGGGGGGGTCAGCGCGCCGGTCGCTTTACTTGGCCTCAATACCCGGGACCTCGTGGATAGTATCATACGCGGCATACCTCTGCCGGTTACCATGACGCAACGTCTCGAACATCTCATCCCCGTGGATCGGAACATCATCCAATTTGCCAATGTGAATGCGACGCGGTGCGAAGTCATTCGCTGTGGTCTTCCTCAGGCATTCAGGATTGGCGCACGTGTGCATCGAGCCGTTGCTGACGACTCTGGCGCCGAAGATGTCCTCGAACTCTCTCCGCGCATCTTCGCGGCGCTCTGGGCCGATCCACATCCGCCGAGCACGGCAGCACCCAGATGATAATACACGTGGGCGGTGGCGCGGTTCTCTTTGTTGAGGGGCCCCCCATTGGACCCAGCTAACCTTGATCCTTTTCTCCATTGGGCCGGCGAGCTTCTCCTGCGCCGATGAGAGTGCTCCTGGAAGAAGCAAGCAGTCCTCCTCGCCGAGCTCTGCGAATCTGACCCTCTGCTCTGGGCAATCCAGACTGTTCACTCGCTCCGACGGGTGGGAGAACTGCTTCATTGTGCTATCAGATACAGGACTCCAACAAACGCAAGTATTACCTGCCCAATTCGCCCGTAGCTTCAACTCATCATGCGCCGCCGTCTGAGGGTTCGTCGGGCAGTCCTGGTTGTGGCAAAGGCAGGGCGTTGTGGAGCCTTTCTGCCATAGCCACCCCCTCTTCCGTGGCAGCCGTCAAGCATGTCAGCGTAGCGCTTCGCAGCTTGCCGCTTTGCCAGCGCCGCGTCATCCTCGACAGCGGTGGGCATCATCATATCTAAGAGATCCTCGCCCAGGAGCGGCAATGCATCCTCGATGTCGCCAAAGACGCATGAACTCCCACCATGTAGATTCGACGCGATCCACAGCAGTGTCCGTTGGGCCAAGCACCCATTGTCGCGCGACCTCTCGAAGTCAAACGCAACGTGGTGCACCCAGGGCTCGTCCGGGAAGGCGCGGCGTAGCCCTGCGCAGTGTTGCCAGCGCAGCTCCCGCGGCATCTCGCAGCTTGAGTAGTGGCCGGCGTTGACGGCGCCGTGCCCAAGCAGCGTTGACCAGAGGTTGAATGGAGCGGGCGCCGCCGAATCGTTGCGCGACCGCCTGCCAATGCCATTCAGGCCAGAGCGAAAACTCGCTCAAGGTCGTTGGGCCTGGGGGCGCTGAACCCTTGAACCTGTGAGCCTGCGCGCGTGGTAGAATTGCTTAGTCTCCAACCTGGCGAAGTCATCGTCGCACAAACGTGCGGCCGCCCTCCTCCTCTGAGGCTGCCTGGACATTCAGGGGCGCACGACTATCAGGCTGAACTCTGCGCTCGCAGCGCGACGAGGTGCAGCAGGGCCTGAATCCCCTGGAGCTCTGGAGCCAAAACTGGCAAAGGAGGAGGATGGGATGGAAGATGGGTGAGCGCAAGAGCCGCTCCTCTTCTCAAGCTTGTCCTCTAGCTCACGGAGCCACGCTCTTTCTTGGGCTGTCTGAGTCTGTTGGGATCCAGGGGACTTGTTCACCCCATCCCTCCTTTTTTTCTTCTCCTCCCCTCCCTCCTACTGGCTCTCGCTATCCTGTCCTCGTCCGCCTCGTCTCTTCATCTTATTCCTCATTAGTGTGTCTGCGCCCAGCTCCGCCGCTATTTATTGACATGTTAGACCAGTGTCATGCGCGTTCAGGCACGCTTCTGTTGTTTAGCGCTTGGTACGTCTGAATAGCGTTAGTTCGTTCGGAACGTGATGTTTTAGTATTTTCCAGGAGCCGACGGCGGCATGCGGCAAGCTCACAAAAGAGAAGGGCAACAATCACGACCCGGGGCCACTTCAGATATACGCGATGGGCGGATTACTATCGGCAGTCAAGGAGCTACCACTCGAAGATCAACTCAAGCGCCACGTGAACCAGATGCACGCGGACTACGACAGCTACGACAACGAGCAGAAGTGCGAGCTGGTGCTCTTCTGCATGGTCGACCGCATGTACGAGAAGGAGAAGAAGCGACTGACGCTCTCCGTGTGCGACCACCAGTTCAGGAACTACTTGACGGCAGCCCTCAAGACCACCTCCGCGAAGCGCAAGTTCAGCCGTGCACCAGCGACTCACATGGAGCGCGAGCTTCAGGACTGGGTGGAGCAGCTGATGATGTAGACAATACCACGACGGCTGCACCGACTGGCGCAGCGGAGACAGCATTTCGAGTTGCTGGTACCACGAGGGCGACACCGACGGCCGCAGTGGAGACAACATCTGGAGCAGCTGCGTTGTTCACCCGCACGCCTTCGGGAGCCCTTCGGGCGAACAAGAGTCCGAGCGAAAATGAGTCCGAGCGGCCCTGTCCTCCTCCTCCCCCCTCCGCCAGTTTCAGATATGATGGTGTGTATTATGTTTTTGGCCTCTAAGAGTGTTTTCCCTGGTAGCCGAAATTTGGAGAGTGTAGTTTCGAGCAAGCACGTTGTGAATCAAGCTAGAATGTGGCACCGATCCCAGTAACCACTCCTTTTGATCCCCTCGGTCTCTCCACGCGTCGGAGGTCGCGGGTCTCGGGTTGGGGCCTCATCCGAGCCCGTCGGCTGCGAGACCACCACTTGGGTGGGGGGGTTTTCGGCCCGCGATAAAGCAGGGACGTCGCTCCGAGTTGCAGTATCTGTGATGAGCTACAGTGTCGAAGGCTAGCTCTGCGTGCTCAAACATCGGCGCCAATGATGTGAAACATGTTTTCGAGTTTCCCTGAATGCGAACTCGGAGCTAAAATGAGCCCAGGGGATGTTGCAGTTTTTGGGCGGCTTTCCCATGGATGTTGATTTGAACCTCGTGATTTTAAAACCCGATCTGAGCCCGATTGGGCCCCAAAACTAAAATGTGAAAAGATTGGGGGGCCGCAGTGCCTCTCCCAGCCGGGTTTTTTTATAGCTCCGAATTTCCCCGGGTTTCCCCGAGTCTCCCGAGGCTTAGGGGTTACTGCGTTGATAGTTTTTGATGAATTACAGTGTTTCCAGCCATTTTGATGTATTTTCTGTGTTTGTGTACAGATTCCACGCCGATCGTCACCTCTCGCTCGGTTCAGACATCTGAGAGCATCCTAGGGCCACTGACGTCACAGAGCGTGCGAGAAGGGCGCAAGGGCAACGGCGGCGACGCCCCGCCTCGTGGAAGACCAGCAGCAGCACCAGCTGGTCGAAAGTCCTCGCCGTGGCGGGCGGGAAGGGCAGCGGGTGCCCTTTTGGATCTCCGCTAGGACTGTCAAGGAAGATCGAAGATCGGATGTGGCCCAGGCAGCCCCAAGAGGCCCGAAGGAAACACCAGGAGGCTCCCAACCATGATGGCTCTGAGACGGTTCCAGTGGAGGGCGCCGGGCGCCGTTGCGGGGCTCTCCCCAAGAGGCTCCAAGAGGAGGGGGGCCGGGGGCCCTTCGGCCTCGAGAGACTCCCACGCGATGGCTCCCAAACCTGCATTCTTTGTCCTCATCGCCCTCATCCCTGTCGTCCGCATTCGCCCCCTTCCGGGACGCTGCAGAAGCTTCTCCTCGTCCCCCATCCTCCCTTACTCCTCCTCGTAACCGGGGGGGAGCAGTCTCTCCCTCATCCTCCTCCGCATCCACATCCTCCCGCCTCGTCCTCATCATCCTTCTTCTCATCATCGTGACGGGCGGGTTGCGCACTCCTCCAGCCGGCGCGAGCGCGCCCACCTGGGCACGGTTGGGGGGGGGGGAAAGTGGGTCGAGGTGGACGTGCGAGAAGAGGAGTTGGCGAGAGTAAAGGTGGAGAAGGAGAGAAAGGGCGGGGGGTGTTGAGCGTGCGCGTATATGTGTGCATGTGTCACGTGCTAGAACTCCTGGCTCGCGTCGACCTCCAGAACCGCGAGCCCTGGGGTGCTGTCGGCGCCCCAGTCTGTGATCACCTTCGCCCACCTGTCCTCGTGGGCCGCCTTGCTGTGGACCGTGCCGCCGAGGTGCCCCCCCCACCAGTGCAGCCTCCGCCGCGCGCCCTCAGACCCTCCGTCCGAGTGCACCGTCTGGGTCTTCGTGCACTTGCCCCTGCCAACCGAGTGGCCGCGCCTGTGGCAATGAGGCGCTCCAGCCGTTGAAGGCGCCTGACACCTTGTGGAAGTACCTGTGCAAGCTGATGTGCCGAAAGTACTTGTGGCCATTCTCGTCCTCGTGGTACCTGAAGTCGCCCTCGTCGTCGTCGGTGCCATCGCTGACCACGACGGCGGAGGAGCCGTCCGAGCTAGAAATTGAAGGCGAGGTTGACGTTGAAGAAGAAGAAGACGAGCTCGAAGAAGATAGGCTTGACGATGACGACTCCTCCACCTCCGTCTCCGTCGCGTCGCCCTTGCCCTCCATCTCGGGCCCGACGTCCACGTGGCCATCGCCGCCCGCCGGGCCCGCTGGGGCCTTCGCTGCTTCCGACGAGCTCCGTCGAGCTTCACGCCCTCGGTGGTTTTCGCCTTCTTTAGGGGGCCACAAGCGAACCCTACCCCTACCTCCCACGATTTCTGAGAGGGAGGGTGGGGTTCATTTCGTTTGGGAGCTCCCGAGCGAAGTGAACCCCACCCTCCCCCTCAGAAACCGTGGGGGGTAGGGGTAGGGTTCGCGTGTGGCCCCAAATTCTTGGGAGCTGGCGGGAGGCTGTCTTCTGGCCAGTCCACTTTGCCGATCACCGGCGTTGGCTTCTTGCCAGGAGGCTGCGTGCCCAGGATCACCATGCACGTTGTGATAGTCGCGAAATGCGGGACCTCGTCGATGCCCGACATCGGCGCGTTGGCCTTCAGCAGCGTCAGCAAGTAGTACCTGCTTACTGAGTACCCCTTGAATGAATACCATTTCTTGCCAGCCCCAGCTGCATGTGGATTCTCCACGGCTGTCTTTCTCTCCCCGGGGTTGTTGGGCAGAAACATGGCCTGGTTGGATCTCCATTTGATTTTACCCCGTCTCCCCCTCCCCAAGACGGCCAGAATCCCAGACTGGACAATCGAACGTCGTTGAAAATTCGCGGCCCCTGGATCTCCCCTGAATCGCCCACGCGAGCGGATTGTTGGCCAGCCATGTTTCTGGCCCAATGCACTCCTTGAAGTCGACAAGTCGTCGCGCGCCCAGCCGTCGCGCTCCATCTTGAGGATCAGCTGTGCGAGGGTGGCCTGGTTGATGCCCGAGCCCGCCCTCTCGTCGAAGCGTTGCAGCATGCACTGTGGGTTCCCCTGTGGGATGCCGATCTCTGTAGCTGCCTTCCCCGCTGCCGTGAACTTGCACGGTGGGCCGACCACGAGACCCAGTCTGAGGAGCGTGTCCACGAGCTCCCGACGTGCACGCTCAAGCGCTCTGGCGGCGCCAGGTCTTCGTGCTGCACGCCGCCCGGATGCCTCAAAGGGAACGTGGCAATGGCGGTCTGCTCTTCAGGAATTTGCGACTTGTGAGGTTCGCGGATACGCACCATGCGTTGATTGGATGTGGAGGTCCATCGATGTATTTTCGACAAAGTTTCTGGTGACAGACAGCATGGCTGGGTGAACGGTGTATGGTGTAGCGCAGTCGTCAATGTTGTTACCAATCGCATTCGCACTCACCACGCATCCACCAGCTGCTTCGTTAAATGACAAAAGTTTGTGCAAAACCAATGTCCAATGTCTTTACACCAGTGAGTTTGGGTTGGCCTGGTATCTTCGGCCTTGGAATACGAGCGATGTCCGACATGACCACCGTGGAGAAGAAGTACTCTGAGAATCCACAGTCTGGCTCCCCGAATGCATCATTAGGATGACCGTCATCGGGCCAACGAGCCTTTACCCCAGGGGCTCTAAATCCAATCTCAGCTTCGCCATATTCTGGAACGTCTTGAGGTATTGAAGGGCGTGCTTGGAGGAGCTTCCGCAAGGGGGCGAGCGCGTTGAGCTGCATGGGCATGCAATACACAGTGCCGTCGGCAGAGACCGCATCGACCACGAGGCTCACGAAGGCGGCCCTCTTGCAAGCAGACTCCACCCTCAGCTTGCTTGATACTGATCTTAGGCAGTGGCATCCTGTACTTGGTGCAGGGGTCGGCGTTGTAGATAACCTCGCAGAATAGCTTGTCAGATGGATGCATCATTGCAAACTTCTCCATCTCTGGATGGCCCTCGAGCCCCCAAGCTTTCTTGCCTGGAGAGACTTGAGCAACGTCTTGCGTAAATTGCCAGAAGGTCTCCATTTTCGCGGTGATGTAAGCGCTGAGGTCGGGCACCCTGTTAGCCAAGCTGACCGAGGCATTGCTGAGATTCCGGGCCCTTGTTACTTCATGATGTGTCTGAGCATGGGTGCCCTCAACCACTCTCTCTCTCTTTCTCTCTCTCTCTCTTTGCGCTGCTCGCAAAGCGCAGAGTCGCCAGCCACTGGCGAAGCTCAGGCTTGTCCTCCTCTGGATTGTCTTGCTCAGGGTCGAAGCCCACTTCTGCCCATTCGTCCACCTCCCGTCTGAGAGCCTCGCCACCGCCGTGGACCAACTCATGAGCAATAGGGTGAGAGTCAGGGTCGACTTGAACTCTGCTCCAACACTCTCGAGCCTTCTGATAATTACCGCATGCCATTCCAAACGGGCCGTACGCAGCCGAATCACAGTGTGCCATATCGATCGTGTAATATGCGACAATGTGGGCCCTGCCACACTCCATCTGCTCGATGATGCGTTTCGAGTCCTCGTTCGAAACATATGATGGGATGTTGCTGGTGAAATCTGCGATGTGGTAGCGCAGGCGGCTCTTCGCCAAGTCGAGCAGCATGCCTGCACATATGTCGTGGCACCGCATGCCTCTCAGCGGGCGCTTCGAAGCACATTCTTGTAGTTCTTTGACCTCCTTCTTCGTCCATGACCAAATGTCGGGGGCCGTCCCAGGGTTGCGCAGGCTTTCGAGTAAATCAAAATAATAAGAACACGATTAACACCATCTGAGGACATTGAACAACGCCTGCGCAAGTTTCTCAAGCGTGCTCAAATAGGCCCACCAGAAGGGCGACTTGATTGTGTCATCCAGAGTTTGCACCGTCAAGTTGAAATCTTGCTCACTTGATTTATTCTTGCCGTGCGTGTATTTGGCAGCGTCCCATCCATGCCGGAATCCAGTCTCGACGTTGCCAGTGATGTTCAGCAGAGTGTTGGCAACTGTACCCCAGCGTTCGACGTGACAATGACATTTGAATCTTTTGAGGGGTTCGAATAGGGCTTTGAACACTGGTGAAGACGAGAAGCACGTCGCCTCCAGTCGTTCATTCGTCCCAGGATTGTCTAAAAGATGAGATACCTTGCTGAGCCTCCAGACTGCATCTTTGTAGTCTGGCATCACGTCCTCCAGGTGCTTGCACGCGTTGTGGCGCAGGCGCAGAGCCCCGTCGAACTCTGGGCTCCAGCTCAGATCGACGATGTCCCTTCTCGGCGCTGCAGGCTGCGCGAAGTCAGCCTTCCGCCGACCGTCGGCGCCCACTGTTGCCCGAAGCCTCTCCCCCGGCCAGGAACCAGGAACCAGGAACCGAGCCCATGGACCCGAATCTTCTCCCCCTCCCCAGGGGGAGGGGGGGAGGAGGAGGAGGAGGAGGAGGAGGAGGAGGAGGAGGAGGAGGAGGCCAGGTGGCGTCGAACCTCGACGTCGCCCCGCTCGCGCTCCCTCGCGAACTCCGGCACGCCCTGCACGGCGATAGGCTCGACGCGCGCTCCTCCTCCTCCGAGCCTACAGAAGTGGCCGACTGGGGCTGAGGAAGTGCAGTTGGTGCATGATCGCGCGGGGCTTTGCCAACAGGTCTGTCCGCCCAAATCCTAATTGCACCGGTGGGGCGACGTGCATCATGATCTTTCCCTCGATCTCTTTCATGATCTTCTCCTCGTTGTCCAGTCGGCAGCGCGCTGCTCCGCAGTCATGGTGCTGGCGCGGAGGTCCAGCTTGCTCGACAGCACGTGCATGGAACGAGGTTGTCTCTGCCAATGATGTGGAGCACTGTCATTTGGCAGTCCCGACCTCCTTGGGGCCTTGAGTCTGGAATCGGGTATACAAGAATCCTTTCTCCACCGTGCATGTCCTCGATGAGGCGCCGCGCTGCTATCATCCAGGCCACGTCGACCCTTCCCCTCATCCGCGACAGAGTGGATTTATTTAATCGCTTCGCTCATTCCGCCGGCCCATAATGTCGCACCGTGGTCGCCTGTCCGAGTGGTCGTTTGCAGTGTGGAGCTGCGGCGTCGGGAGCTGTGTAGTTGTCGATAAATCTGTCCAAAATCAAAGGAAAAGCTCAGTTTTTTGCCTCTTGGGGCCCTCTTGGGAGTTCTCTTGGAGGCCTCGTGGGGCATCTTGGAGGCTTCTTGGGCCATCTTGGAGACGTCTTGGGCCGTCCGGAGGCCATCTTGGGCGTCGTGGAGCTATCTTCGGGCGTCTCGGACCTCTCTTGAACCGTGTTGGGGGCGTTCTTGGGGCCCTCTTGGGCCGTCTTGGAGGCCTCTGGGGCCGTCTTGGAGCCATCTTGGGCCGTCTGGGGGCCCTTTTGAGGGCCTCTTGGGCCCTCTTGGGGCGATCTTGGAGGCCTCTTGAGCCGTTTAGGGGCGTCGGGGAACCGAAAAGGTTGAAACCCTCAAATCTGTCCAAAACCTAAGAAACACATTGATTTTTGCCTCTTGGGGCCCTCTTGGGAGTGCTCCTGGAGGCCTCTTGGGGCATCTTGGAGGCTTGTTGGGTCATCTTGGAGACCTCTTGGGCCGTCTGGAGGCCATCTTGGGCGCCGTGGAGCGATCTCTGGGCGTCGTGGACCTCTCTTGGATTGTGTTGGGGGCCTCTTGGGGCCCTCTTGGGGCGATCCTGGAGGATCTGGGGGAGTGTCCCGGGCGTGTCCCGGGCTCCTCTCGGGGTACTTTTGATCCAGGGACCCCCAGGGGCCGCCCCGCGCGCGCGAACCAGAAATACTGTTTACCAGTTACCGGAGATCTTAGCACGCCTCTGGCCCGTTGGGCCGGCGAATTTGGGATCCGCCCTTTGACAGACTCCATCTCGATAGAGTTGCAATATTCGCGCGCAAGACTTGGTGGAAGCTTTACGCGAAGTGCCCTAAAGCAAGCCTTCTTCAGTTCCGCGCCATTCCTCGGAAACTTGGACGCGTTGAACATGTTCACGATCTTAGTCGCCTCGTACTTGGACCTCGCAGCTTTACCTTCCCTGGCTTCCCTGTGGCATAGCAGCTTGTCACCGTGGTATGTCAGCAGGGCCAATTGCGAGTGGGAATCCATTAGGCGACCCATAATGCCTGGGGTCACTGCGCGATCATCGTAATACCAGGTGTGTAAGGGGATCTTGAACTGATTGGCGATGCTGTAGGCTAAGCTGGCATTGAAGGTCTTGTGCAATTCGAAGAACTCTCGATCGGGCTTGCTGAACCTCAGAGGTGTA